GGCTCTGCACGCCCGAAGGCTGGTTCTCCTGCCAGGTGAGTGGGTGCCCTTTCCACGGGGCCCCCAGGCCAGTGCTGAGCTGCCCTCCCATGGAGGTGGGCCCTGGGCCTCTGGCCAGCAGACCCCGAGCTGCTGAAAGGCTGCTGGGCCCACCCAGGGCGCCTGCTCCAGTCGCACGGGCCTGAGAACCTGCATATCTGACAAGTTCCGGTGGCGCTCCTGCTGGTCGGGGGCCCTTGCTGATGGGGGCGAGTCACAGCTCTCGCCAGCATCTGGGAGCACACCGTTCCTTTTGGGGGGGGGGAGTTGGAACGAGGAGGGACATCAGGCGCCTCTGGGAAGCAAGCGTTTTGTGCCCCTGGGCAGCTTCCTCGGTGACAGCGCAGGGATGTCAGGGTCTGTGCCACTGTGACGTCTCGGGCATTGGGTAAGCCTGAGTCCCGGGCCAGGGGCATCAGCCGGAGCCGGTACTCTGAGCTGCGCAGGCAGACCCCGCAGGAGCCTCCCCATCACCCGAGGGATCCCCGGGCACTGCTTCCCCAGGTGCCACCCCTTGGAGGACAGCGGGGACTCCGTCCCACCACTGTCCTGGCCTTCACCTCTGTGGGGTGTCAGGTGTGGTCCGGCCTCAAGTGCCGATGACAGAGCTGGGCAGGGACTGAGGTGGCGCCTCCTGACCCCAGCGCGGTGCTCACCTTGCTCTCTCTCGGCGCAGGGTCCTTTCGACATGGCCGACTGTGCGTCCAGACACTCTATCAACCCCTACGGCAGCCGGGAGAGCCGGGTGCTCTTCAGCACCTGGAACCTGGACCACATGTGAGTCCACGGGTCGGGGGCTTCCCAGTGTTTAAACAAATAGGCACCACCCGGGACACAGGCAAAGTTGCCATCATCAGGCCTTGCCAGGCAGCTGACCCGCAGCTGTGGCCACGCTCAGTGTGGCTCAGGGTCCAGTCAGTGAAGGGACGTCTCCGAGTGCTCGACCCGAGACAGCGCCGAGCCTCCCACCCTGGTGCTGCTCCTGGGAGGCGGCCGAGTGTGGTTCCCTCTGAAATCGTCATTTCCCAGTTACCTTCTCCTGTGAGCGGCCAAGCGCTGTTCCGTGTGAGCTGCCTGAGCCCGTGGTGTCAGAGCCTGTGCTGGAACAGGCTGTGCCTCGGGGGCGCCAGCAGGCCTGACCGCCCTCCCCTCCCTTGCAGAATAGAGAAGAAGCGCACGGTGATCCCCGCGCTGGCGGAGGCGGTCGGCGCGCAGGCCGGGAGGCAGGTGGACTGGGAGTACTTCTACAGCCTGCTCTTCACCTGCGAGAACCTCAAGTTGGTGCACATCGCCTGCCACAAGAAGACCACCCACAGGCTCAGCTGCGACCCGCACAGGATCTACAGGCCCCAGGCCAAGCCCAGGAGGCGGGCTGCGCGCAAGCGCCCGTGACTCGGGCCGCGTCGTGGTGCCGTGCGGGATTTTAACTGGTGCTGTTTTTCTGCCACTGCAATAGCTTCTGAAAAACACGTTTACAGAATCTCCCTAGATTTCTGGCCTCAGCACGTTTCGGCATGTTTCCTGCGCCTGAGAGCTGCGGACACCGGGGCCTGGGGCCTGGTCGGCGGGTCAGGGACCGGAGTCCTCTGACTTGACCCACTCTGCTTGCTTGTGTGGCACAGTTGCCACGGGAACGGCGTCATGGCCAAAGCCGCCACCCTTGCCTGAGGGACAGCTCTGCCGGGTCTCCACTCCCCAGACCGAAGCTCCATCCTCTGGACTCTTCCAAATGCTGGGATCGTGACCCTTTCGGGGTGAACTGCTCACACCCAAGGAGCACAAGCGTGCTCGCTGCTGTGCATTGCGGCCGGAAGCGGGCCTCCCACGCCTGTCAGAGGGGCGTGGCGATCGTGGCCCCGCACTCAGCCATGAGATCGCTGGCTTCTAGGCCAAGCGGTCAGGTGTTGTTGATTTCACGGTTCAACCTAACACGCGTCACGAGGCCCCGCTGTGCAGCAGCGCAGGTGTTTGTGGCTGGACACGGGAGCTGCCTGTTAAATGCACCGGCAAGTGGCTTAACGCTAAGGCCACGAGTGTGTCACACACGTGCTAGTGTGAGGCAGCTTGTCTGTGCACAGCAGTGATCCTGGGGACGGTGGGTACGACGGTTACAAGGACTAATGTTCTAAACCGTGTTTTATAAGAGTCGGCCCTCGTGTCCACCGGCTTCGTGTCGCAGTTGGAATCCTCGGATGCGGAGGGCCGACTGCACGCACTGCTCTTCCTCGTTTTACATCAGGGCCTGAGCATCCTCAGATTTTTGGTGTTGGGGTGGGGGTTCTGGAACCAGCCTCCCGCGGGTACCGAGGAATGCTTGTACTTGAAGTTTTTAAAATGAGCATTTATTTCAGAATTTTTAAAATTTAGTTTTTTACCTTTTGTAACATTGAATTTTCACATTTGTTGTAGAACCAGGAAAAGCAGTAAAGGTTTTTCACAAATAGACGTGTCGGAAACGTTTGCACTCCCTGACAATGATGGAAATGAGGATAAAAAAAGGGGTCAGTGATTTTTAAAAACCTGACCCAAATCGTCCCGTTCTCCTACTGGAGCGGGAGCGCCGCGGACTGAGCCAGGCCTGCGGGGGACGAGCAATCTCATCTCGCGGAGCTCACCTGTCTGTCAAGCAGTGCGGCAGGGCCGTGTCCCCTCTGACTGTTCGTGGAGGGAAGGTCGGGGGCTGCCAAGGTCCTTGCTCTATGCGGGTGGGTTTTGGGGGTGGCGGTTCCATTTCCAGCCACAGAAGTGGGGGTTTCCTGCGTGTCCGTGTGAGCAGCCTTCTTGGCGGCGGGTGGTCTTAGAAGAGGTGTTTGGATGCTCTCCTGCGACACAGCATGGGTGACCCTGCCGCCCGCCCGGCTGTGGACACAGGGCTGCGTCCCTACCGCAAGGGGCTCCGTGTGTGACTGTGTGTCACTTTGCAGACCAGTCTTAGAGCCTTTCCTTCCACTGGCAAGAATGCGTCACAAGACGCTCCTTGTGGCCAGGTGCCTAGCAGGTGTCGTCTTGGGGGGGCAGCTGTGCCTGGTAACAGCTCCACCACGGAGGCCAGCTCGGAGAGCGCAGAGAACACGCTACTGGTTTAGGTAAAAGGTTAGGTGCCAACAGCTCAGGAAGAGGTGCACAGGGCCAGGTAGGCGGGACCCGGTGTGGAGCTTCCGGCCCAGGCTCACCAGGCTCACCAGGCTCTCCGAGTGTTCCAGCGCCAGCAGGAAGGTCTCCGAGAGACCAGCGAGCTGTGCGGTCCTCTGGTTTCAGTGTGGCTTCATCACAGTCCTGACCGGCCACGTTCTGTCCTTGGCCATTGGAGACAGATTCAACCTCCAGGCTCTCCTCTCCCCAGAGGCCCCACCCTTAACGGCCCAAAGCCACCTGGTTAACATGACATCAACCAGTGAGGAAACGCCAGGGGTTGCAGAGCTGTGAGCGGGAGCCCAGGATGAAGATCTTATAAACCACAGGATGGCAGCGCCCACAATAGGTGAGGAAGGTGCTGCTCACCTGCCTCAGCCCCTCCCCCCCCCCGCCCCCGCCCCCGCAGGAGGAGCCCTCAGGCCACAGCGGCTGGTTAGGGGTTGGCTGGGTGGAGAGGCTGTCCTGGCCTTCGGGGCCAGGCAGGGCCGGACCTGCTTTGTCCCAAACACTTTAGAAAGGAGCACAGCTTCAGGGACACAGACTTCTTTAAAATATTTTCAAAATATATTTTATTTTTCGCATATAACTCCTGCAAAAAGTCCATGGTCAACCTCAGCCTCACACAGAGACCGGGGTTCTCGAAACCGCCTGAATCAGCCCGAGGAGGGTCAGCCCGTGAGGGGGAGAGGCTGGCACATCACAGCTAACACTTATGGAGCGTTTCCTTTGCAAACCTCTCTCCTTCACCCCGGCCCGAGGCCGCCTCAAACCATCCTCACGTCTGTACAGACGGAGACCGGGCGCCTCATGCAAGCAGCAGCAGCTTCCTCCTGCCAGGACGCCCGGCTCCCAGTGGAGCCCCCAAGAAGTCTGCTTAAGGACACATCCTCCAGAGGATGAACTTCCTAAGTCCCGTAACCTTAACCTGTCCACTGTTACCGCACTCAATACGCAAGGCAGTCACCGTGTGTACTTTATTCCTACATTTCTGCGTCCTCCTCGTCGTCGTCATCTTTGGCTCTGAAATGCATCTTCCGGAACTCCCGTCTGCTCACGGAAGGACAAGACGAAGACGCCGGTGGAAGGTCCTGGGGGGGAGAGAACATGCCCTCCTTAGTCACCCCACCCTCTGCCTCAGCACCTGCGTGGGCCACAGCGCAGCCCCCCCTGCAGACAGTGGGACCACTCGGCCCACATGGAGGAAAGGCGGGAAACGAGCCCAGGGCACATGGCCCACCCCACCCCCGGCGCAGGCCCTGCGGGGACACCGCCCAGCAGCCATGCTCCCCGCGGAGGGGCCAGGGTGGCGTGCCCAGTGAGGAGCTGCCATCATCTGGGCTGAAAGATGACGGTGCACCTGCTACTGCGCTGAGGCAGTCCTCACACGCAGCCCCCGGAGCCCCCCGGAGGGGAGACGGCGCCCCACTCACCTGCATGAGCTCCACGTTCCCGAAGAACCGGCTCACGGGCATGGGCTGGTTGCTGTCGTCATCCAGGAAGGCGCTGCCGTCCATCTGCAGCACGGAGCCGCCCCCCACGGCGGAGCTGCTGTCCAAAAAAAAACTCGGCCGTGACCGAAGGGAAGGCCTGTGGTCCCCTGTGGAGCGGAGATGCCGGCGGCCTCTCCCGGGGGGGACGGGCCGTCTCCCTCTAGCGCCAGGGGCTCATGTCCACCAGGGCTCCCCGGCGGTGCTTGGGGCGGGGCCGCACTCTCGCTCTTGGGGACCAGTTTCTGTGATTCTGACTTCACAAGCTGACCTCGGTCACACTTGAACTTCTTGGAAGTTCGCCTGTCCGTGGCTTTGTGTGAGGAAGTCTGTTGAGGAAGAAAAATGCCGGGAAAGCAGGCCCGTCTAGGATTATGAAGCGGACGGCAAACAGAACAGTCCCACCCCCGAGGCCCCCTTCCTCACACCTCAACCGGGACGAGCTGAAGCCCCGCTTCCACGGCTGGGTCGGGGCCAGGTCACTGCTGCCACCCAAGGGACAGCGGGGAGAACCCAGACCCCAACCCGCTCCCGCACACCGCGTGCTCCAGGCTGCCCACTGCCGAGGCAAGTTCAGAAGCCCGTCCCGACGGACTACAGACTTGCAGCCAGAGAAGCCAGTTTCCGTTCGTTTCTGGAGTGTGAGCAGCTGAGGGCAGGGGCGGGGAGGTGCTCTGCAGCTCATACGTGGCTCCAGCCTGGCTTCCACGAGCCGCACGGGGCACCGAGTCCCAGCCGGTGCCGCCGCACTGCACGGAACGCGGACACGCTGAGTCCTCTCCCCAGCCCACGCTGCCTTTCTCTCGAAGCCTTAGGGGTGGACAGGAGGGCGCTATGCCACCATCGCTCAAAAGGCTGCATTGAGCCCTGGCCGGCGTGCTCAGTGGTTAGAGCCTTGGCCTGCGCACCGGAGTCGCCAGTTCGATTCCTGGTCAAGAGCAAGTACCTGGGTTGCAGGTCTGACCCCCCCTCCCTCCCCACTGGGGTGCGTGCAGGAGGCAACAGGCCAATGTGTCTCACATCAGTGTTTCTGTTTCTCTCCCCTCCCCTCCACTCTCTCTGAAATCAATGGGAAAAAATCCTCGCTCCTTGGTGAGGATTAAAAAAAAAAGGCCGAATCAAAGGTGACAGGACCTGAGCCAGGCCCGCTGATGGCCAGACACTCCTGGACCCAACCTCCTGCTCCGGTCCCCAATCAGCACACCGCAGAACGCACGCTGTGTAGACGCGGACACCCGAGCCCTGGCCCCCATGTCTCCCTGGCGGAGGCTCACCTGACATGCTGTCCTGCCAGACGGGGCGGTCCTGCCTTCCTGGGCAGAGGTCAACTTGGCTGAGCAACTCCGGGCTCTCAGACGCTCTGAAGACCGCACTGCCCCTGTGAGCTGGACGGAGGCAAGGCTGTCAGAGGCCGTGCCCTGAAATGTGGGCGCGGAGGGGCTTCCTAACCAGGGAGGACACTGGACACGGTCCCCCACTTTCCATCGTGGGGAAGGACACTGGACAGTCCCCCACTTTCCATGGTTATGGAAGGACACTGGACAGTCCCCCACTTTCCATCGTGTGGAAGGACACAGGACAGTCCCCCACTTTCCATGGTTATGGAAGGACACAGGACAGTCCCCCCACTTTCCATGGTTGTGGAAGGACACAGGACAGCCCCCCCCTTTCCATCGTGTGGAAGGACACTGGACAGGGTCCCCCCACTTTCCATGGTTGTGGAAGGACACTGGACACAGTCCCCCACTTTCCATGGTTATGGAAGGACACTGGACACGGTCCCCCACTTTCCAAGGTTGTGGAAGGACACTGGACACAGTCCCCCACTTTCCATGGTTATGGAAGGACACTGGACACGGTCCCCCACTTTCCAAGGTTGTGGAAGGACACTGGACACAGTCCCCCACTTTCCATGGTTATGGAAGGACACTGGACACGGTCCCCCACTTTCCAAGGTTGTGGAAGGACACTGGACACAGTCCCCCACTTTCCATGGTTATGGAAGGACACTGGACACGGTCCCCCACTTTCCAAGGTTGTGGAAGGACACTGGACACAGTCCCCCACTTTCCATGGTTATGGAAGGACACTGGACACGGTCCCCCACTTTCCAAGGTTGTGGAAGGACACTGGACACAGTCCCCCACTTTCCATGGTTATGGAAGGACACTGGACACGGTCCCCCACTTTCCAAGGTTGTGGAAGGACACTGGACACAGTCCCCCACTTTCCATGGTTATGGAAGGACACTGGACACGGTCCCCCACTTTCCAAGGTTGTGGAAGGACACTGGACACAGTCCCCCACTTTCCATGGTTATGGAAGGACACTGGACACGGTCCCCCACTTTCCATGGTTATGGAAGGACACTGGACAGGGTCCCCCACTTTCCATGGTTATGGAAGGACACCGGACACGGTCCCTCCACTTTCCATCGTGTGGAAGGACACTGGACACGGTCCCCCCACTTTCCGTCGTGTGGAAGGACACTGTACACAGTTCCCCACTTTCCATGGTTGTGGAAGGACACTGGACAGGGTCCCCCACTTTCCATGGTTATGGAAGGACACCGGACACGGTCCCTCCACTTTCCATCGTGTGGAAGGACACTGGTGGCCTGAGTGTGGGAATCCAAACAATTCTGGGTTTAAGATGCAAGACCTCCTCTCCCCACTGTCTTGGGAACTTGGGGTGACCTGCCCCATCACACGTCTCTAGGAACCTCCGTTCATAAGGTAACTGTTCTGAAGCAGCAGCACACAGCCTTCCTCAGAAGCTTCTCCAGCTTCCATGTGGTGCCAGGTTCTGGGTGAAAGGCAACATGAACAAGCCCCCCAACCCTGGACCCTGAGCCCCTCAACAGTAAGAAACTGGTCACCTCCATTTTACTCTGGAAGCTAAAGACGCCTTCTAATAACAAGGGAGAAGTTAGTTAAAATGAAAACGTGAAAGAATGGTACTTAGGAGCGGGTTTAGGCCCTGGTACAGGGAGTCCTGTGCGCGCTGCCCTCAGCCGCCCTGACGTCACACCACCCCGCACACCGGCCCCGCGAGCAGCTCGCCGTGGACAGCACTGCTCACTGGGCGGCTGGCTCCCCGGAGGTGCAGCAGCTTTTCCTGTGAATCCCCTTTCCTGGCCCAGACGCTCAGGAACTGATGGGAGCGAGTAATAGAGAGAAGGAGCAACCAGGGTCACTGGGTGACAGGCTTGGAGCTGTCCTCACCACACGCCCTGGGGCTGGGAACCACAGGGGCAGAGGAAAGGCCACACAGAGGGAAGGAGATCAGAAAGGAAGAAGGTCGTTTAGAAACTCACAGTAGCATCTCATCCATCCCGCCCAGGCTCCTGAGGGCTCACGGCTGGAGCCACGCCCCTCCCTGAGCCCAGCTCACCTGGCTGCCGCCACGCCCCCCCCTGAGCCCAGCTCACCTGGCTGCTGCCACGCCCCTCCCTGAGCCCAGCTCACCTGGCTGCTGCCACGCCCCTCCCTGAGCCCTCAGCTCCTGGAGCAGGGGCCTCACACCGAGGCCTGTCCCTGTCCTGGCTAAATGGAGCCCTGGCTCAGACGTGGCCCGGGGGACAGGCAGCATCCAAGCAGAGCTCTTCATCTCTTCCCAGAGGAGCTGCCTTCAGTGCCGCACAGTGGGCAGCCGGCCTCAGGGCTCCCAGGGCAGTGGCAGCCGGGGTCCTGGAGCAGCTCCTCGCAGGGGGGCCCCCTGGGACCCGAACAAAATCAGGCACTTGCTTAGAAGCTATTCCCTCAGAGAAGCCAGAATGTGACTGGATTAGTTTGTGGAGCAATTTATGCACCAGGTCACAGCTGAAAACAACTGAGCAATGAGCCGGTTTACCAGCTGGGTGTGGTCAGAGAGGAAGGCAGTCCTAGAAGCAGTCATCTGGGGTGACTGTGGGTGACCCAGTGGTGCTCTGGGGGAGGGGAACAGACTCTAACAGCACAACCCACCACGTCACTCAACGAACAGCACACCAACACTAGCAAGCTGGGAGGTCAGCACCCAGAATAGCGGCAATATGGTATCTAAAATATCCAGTTTCAACAGAAAGGTATGGCACGCAAGGGAACAAGCAAGCAGATCCGGGCCCTGGAATAAGAGCAGACAGCACTGCCTGTGAGAGGGCCCAGAACTTGCATTTACCAGAAGAGACTTTAAAGTAGCCGTTATAAACACGTGAAAAAGAGATGAGAGACCGTGAGTTAAAAAGTAAAGGAAGATCTGATGATAATGTTGCATCAAATACAAAACATCAATAAAAAGAGAGAAATTATAAAAATGAACCACATGGAAGTCCTGTAGTTGAAAAGTATGACTAAAATGAAACATTCACCAGAGGGCTCAACAGTGGGATGAACTGGCAGAATAAGAATCAGCAAACCTGACGACAGACTGATAGACGTGCAGCCCTGAGAGAAAAACGAACGTAGGATCTTAGAGAAACGCTGGGCACACAACATACGTGTCATGGGAGTCCCACCAGGACAGAGGAGCAGGAGGCGAGTCAGAGGAAGGATGGCGGGAAACTCCCCAAAAGACTGAAGATCGCCACCCGCACATCAGGCGTCTCCAAGAACCCAGTTCTGAGTAGGACAGATGTAAAGAGCCACAGACATCACTGTGAGAGAACCGAGCCAAAGACAAGGAGAGATCCTGACGCAGCCAGAGGAAAATGACCGGGCTTACGAGGGCACCAGCTGCTGACTCACCAGCAGAGACCCGGAGGCCACAGCACAGCGGGTACATTCAAACGCACTCAAAGTTCCCAGAGAAAAAACACTGCCAGCCAAGATCCCACAATCCAGCAAAGCTATTCCTCAAAAATGAAGGCAAAATAGACGCTGTCGGATAAACAAGCACCCAGAGGACTTGCCACCAGCACACCCACCGTACAGGAAACACTGAACTCTTCAGGCGGAAAGGAAGCGATCCCGGATGGCAATCCAAATCAAGGGAAAAGAAAGCCCCTGTGAGTGCACCTGTGTCCTAAGTGAACAGCAGTCCTTCTCTTACCCGACTTAAAAAGCAATCACACACAGTAACATGCACACAATGTATGCAGAAACGTGCTATCCTACCTAATAAAGAGGGAATATGCAAATTGACCGTTATGCCATAACAAAGATGGCTGCGCCCACAGCAGAGGTGGGGATCCCGTAACGAGCCCTAATGAGCAATCAGCAGGGATCTGAGGCTGCACCCCCCACCTGGTGGGGCTTGACAGGGGACCTCAGGCCATGCCCCCTGCCCCGGCGCCAGGCTGGGGGACCTCAGGCCACGTCCCCCTCCCGACGGAGCTTGATGGGGGACCTCAGGCGTGGCCCCTGCCTGGCAGGGCTTGACGGGGGTGGGGCCGGCTAGGTCTGGATCTAGCCCAATGGGGGTGGGGCCGGCCAGGTCCAGGTCTTGTGCAATTTCAAGGAGCATGTGGCTGGGTGGGGACTGGACTCTGGTTCCCATGGTGTGCCCCAGACTCTGACAGGAGGAAGATTTTCATATACATTTTACTAATTTTCTTTCATCTCTGACACTTCTATTCTAGAGAAAGGGCAAATAGCAATCCTATATAATAAAGAGGTAATATGCAAAGTAACCATCACACCCTCACAAGATGGCTGCCTACGACCAGACCGGCAGGGGTGTTAGTGAGGGACAGCCAAACGACTGAACAAGCAGGGTGCATGGGGTGACCACACCAGCAGGGGGGTTAGTGAGGGACGACCAGGCTGGCAGAGGGGAGCAGTTGGGGGCAACCAGGCCGGCAGGGGGGGCAGTAAGAGGCAACCAGGCCTGCGGGGAGGGGGCAGTTAGGGGCGACTGGGCTGGTGTGGGGGGCAGTTGGGAGTGACCAGGCCAGTGGGAGGGGGGGCAGTTAGTGGCAGGGGGGCAGTAAGGGGTGACCAAGCTGGCGGGGGGCCAGTTAGGAGCAACCAGGCCGGCAGGGAGGGGGCAGTTAGGGGCGACCAGGCAGGCAGGCAGGCAGGCAAGCAATTAGGAGCCAGTGGTCCAGGATTGTGAGAGGGATGTTCGACTGCTGGTTTAGGCCTGATCCCAGGAATCAGGCCTAAACCGGCAGTCAGACATCCCCCAAGGGGTCCCGGACTGGAGAGGGTGCCGGCTGGGCTGAGGGGACATCCCCTCCCCCGTGTACAAATTTCGTGCACTAGGCCTCTAGTATTAAAATATTTCCTCTAATTAATTCCCTTTTAATGTGCATGAATTTCGTGCACCGGGTCACTAGTTTGCAATAGCAGGGTAAAGGAGGTGAGTGGGAGCAAGGCTGTACTGGGCTAAGAAATGGCTACAAATGGAAAAGCAGGCATGACATCGCACTACTGCGTTTGTAACAAGAAATGTAATATTCATAACAGCACACCATGAAAGCGGGTAGAGAACAAGAGCTATCCAGGCCTAGCATTTCTGCATGTGTGGAATGAAGCTGGTACAAATCTGAAGTGGATTCTGCTGCTACGAAGGACACATTAAACCTACAGAGGCCACTGGAAAAGAAACTTTTAAACCAGGGGAAAAAATCATTAGTGTTATATTAAAAAACATCCACTTTGCCCGGCTGGTGCAGCTCCGTGGTTGGGTGTCAATCTACGAACCAGGAAGTCACGCTTCCATTCCTGTCAGGGCACGTGGGGGTTTGCGGGCTCCATCCCCAGTGGGGGCGGGACGTGCAGGAGGCAGCTGATCCATGATTCTCTCTCATCATTGATGTCTCTTTCTCTCTCTCCCTTCCTCTCTCTGAAATCAATAAAAACATCTTTTTAAAAAATTTTAATAAAAAGCATTCACTTTAACTCATTTAAATGAGGAACAGAACAAAACAGAGACCACATAACGGGAACAAAAGGAACACGGCATAGGTGTGTGCACCCAACTATACCAGTAACGTTACATGTGAGCTGCTACACAACGTAATCAGGACCAGACAGGTCAGCCTGGGACCCACCACCGCTGCCCGCAAGACCCAACCACATGCCGCCTGCAGGGGGACCTCAGGCTCGAAGGCGCTCGGGGTAAAAGGAGTTGGGATCCGCTCCTGAGGCAAACCCGGAGAGCCCAGGTGCAGCGCCCCCTCCGCCGGGGTCAGGGGTGACTTGTGTCCCAGCCCCTTGCCTCAGTTCACACACCGCGCCGGTCACCAAGTGCCAGGAACCGGGCATCTTCAATCCTCACCCCTCTCCGGGTGGATTCCACGTCACCCCACTTTGCACAGGGGATAACTGGGGCCAAGCTGAAGGTCACCCAGGCTTGAGTCGTGGCAACAGAAAAACACGAACCCCTGGCATGGCAGCACCAGAAACGCCCCGGGTCCAGACCAGTTCCGGAGAGCCCTCCTCCCCATTCCCGGAGGCGTGGTCTTAGGAGGCGTGGCCTGCGAATCCCCTCCCAGAGGAGGCGTGGCCTGCGAGGCCCTTCCTGGGGGCGTGGTCTGAGAGGAGGCGTGGCGTGCGAAGCCCTCCAGGAGGCGTGGCCTGGGAGCCTCCCCGCCGGGGAGCGCGGCTTGAGCGCTCACGGAGGACCAGGCCCAAGCAGAGGTCCCC